CTTCGGTGCGGCAGGCGCTCGGTATTCCGATCGTCGATTGCCGCCACCGGGGGGCGGGGGGGGGGGGGGGTGCCGGGGGACGTGCGTGCCAGGGCGCAGGCGCACACGCAGCCCTGTGTGCCCCAGTCCCGGGGGGAGGGGGGACAAACGGCAGCTGTACACAAACGCCCGGCGCTGCGTGGGTCGCTCTCGTTCTTGGTCTGGGTCTCCCTGGCGGTGCATGCAGATCATGCAGGGGGGGGGGGGGGCGGCCAGCGATCCAGGCCCTGCGAGGAGACGAGAGCCCCGTCCCCCCCCCCCGCCCTCGGGCTGCCCGGTTGGAAGGCGGCGGTGTTTCTTTCTTTCATGCGGGGTGCGGGCATGGCCCCGTCGCAGGACATCACCATTACCCGCCTCCGGATGGCGAGCGGAGCCCGCTCTATTTTCGTCTCTCGTTCGGTCAGGGTATTCGGGATGACTGTTTTTCGCCCCTGGCCCCCTGCTCCCCCTGCTCCCCCTGCTCCTCCTGCCCCCCCGCCCCTCCTGCTCCTCCTGCCCCTCCTGCCCCTCCTGCCCCTCTTGCCCCTCCCGCCCCTATCCCGGCCTCTCTCGTGGCACTGAAAGGCGCCCCGGCCAGAGGGGCCGATGCCTGCCAGGCACACAAGGCATTTTGTGCCATCTCTCCCCCTCCTTCTCTGCCTTTACGCGCACACACACACACACACACACACACACACACACTGCACGCACGCCCATTCTTCCCCCGTCCGAAGAGCTCCCCGTCCCCGCGTGCCCTTCCATGCACGGCCCCTATCCCGCCCGGCCGTCCGCCCTACACTGTCTCCCCATCTGAGAATTCCTTTTACCCATGTTTTCCTCGGTCCCCCGGCGCCTTGGCGCGCTGGCCGCCTCCGACGCGTGGTATGCACGTCGCGCGGCCAGCTGCCTGCCGGGGCGGCGGTTGCTGCCGCCACCATCACCATCGTCACTTCCCGCCAGTGGCGCCGACGTGCCTAGCCACGCACGCGCCCTTTCGTCGCTGAGCATGCGCACGGCCGGCCTGCCGCCGCCGCCTGCCGCCCTGCGATCCGACTCCAGCCGCGCTGGTGGCTCCCCGGCCCGCGCGCGGATCTCCCTCTTCGGCACCCCGGCCCAGCGCGCCGTCGCAATGCTTGCATCTCGGGTGGTGCGTGCCCCGGCCCCCGGAGGGGGGTGGGGGTGGGGGGGGGGGTGGCCCTGCCGTCGTCCTCGTGCCCGGCAGCTCCCCGTCACATGGACACACGCCCTCCGACCCTCGCTAACCGCTTGCACATGCGCCGACATGCTTCCCTCCCCGCCTTTCCTCCCCCATGGGCATGTGGCCTTTATCGTGTGCCCCCCCGGGTTTCCCCCCCCCCCCCTGGCCACGGCGGTGCATGCACACATAGCCGGTCTTTTTCTCGAGTCTTGATGCGCTCTACTTTTCAGAATACGAGAAGGCCCTGGCCGGGACGCTGTTGCCGCGTGCCCGGCCATCGGTTCCCCTTTTCCCGCCGACGGCCCCATCGCCGCCCATGTTTTCCCGCCCGGCGACCATGCCGGCGACCGAGCGGCCGGTCCCTCGGGACCAGTCTTCCGCAAGCCTGACCACGGTGGCCTCGGAGCCCGGGACCGGTGTTGTCCCGGCGACCGGTGCCACCGAGCTTCACACCGCCCAAACCGACCTGGCCGAGTCGCCGGGCATGTTCCACGTCAAGCCGGCCCCCGCCTGCACAACGGCCCTGCTGAGCGAGGTCCACGGCAGCGAGTTTGTCTGCCGCGCACTGGGCGAGACGTCGATGATGCCGATCGCCGACTCGCCCTTGCATGACGGCGGCATGGCCACCACCGGCGCCGGTCCCGGTGCCATTGCCGCCGTCACGGCCGCCGCCCCTGTCGGGCAGCCGGCCGCCGCCTCCGGCGGGCATGGAGAGGAGGGCGGCCTCCTGGCCGGTGGCGACCTGTCGGACTCCTTTTCGCTGGCCACATGTCGGCCGGGGACGCCTCTGCCTCCGTTGGTGGCCGAGCGCGAGCGTCATGCCATCGGCGCGGCCATCGAAGCTCTATCATTGCTCCATGGTGCGTCAAGCTCATCCTCCCTCGTGCCTCCCCTCTGTCCTGGCCGTTTTTCCTTGTCAGCCTCATCTCACCGATTACTTTGTGTGTTCCGTCGGATCTCCCCCCCCCCCCCTTCCTTCTCTTCCTCTTTCTCTCTCCCTCCCTCCCTCCCTCTCGGTTAGCCGGTTCCCAGTTTGCCGGAAGTCTGTCCGGTAGCTTGGTCTTCAATGAGATCTCCGTTGCCATCAGTGCGTGCCCCCAGGGGCCTTGGTACTTCCTTGTTTCCCCCCGCCCAGGAGGCGGAGGCGGCCTTGCTCTTGTCGAGTCTAACCACGTGAAATCTCCCCCCCCCCCCTCATCTTCCGCCTTCGCTTGTCGGGATAGACCATGCCGTTCGGCATCTGGGCTACCGGCGGATCCTAGTATGTGACCTGTCGTGGTACCCCCGGCCCAGCCAGTGGCCCGGGACCGAGGGCGATCCTGCCGCCGACCTGACCACGGCCGCGGCGGCGGCCGCCGCCGCGGCCGGCCCCGGTGGCGCGGCCGAGGACGCCAGTGTCTTCACTCTGTCCATCCGCCCGAGCGGCGAGCTGATTGACGACTCGACCGGCGTTGTGGATCCGTCAGTCCCGCCGACGCCGCCCGCCCCCTCGGCGGCCGGGGCCTTTGAGGCCGGCGAGCAGCCCGGAAGCAACCAGCTGGTGATCGACATCAGCCCCGATGCCGCGGACCACGAGTACATTCCCCTGGTGTCGCGGTCTCTCCGGCGGGCCTTCGCCGTTTGGAAGCCGGATCTCATCGTCTACCATGCGGGGATCGAGTCCTTCTTCTCGGAGCCTCCTCCCTGCCAGCGGCTCCCCTCGGGCCGGCTGATTCAGTACCGGCCATCGCGGGTCACCCGCCAGGGGCTGTCCGAGCGGAACCGGCTCCTATATGAGCTGGCCATTGCAGCCGGAGCGCCGGTTCTCACGCTGGCTGGCGCGCCGCCCGTCATCCCTGCCTGCCTGGAGGATGAGGCCGATGCTGATGCCAATGCCCCGGTTGGCTTTTCTTGCCCCTCCTCCCCTGCTGCGGCATCCTCCTCCCCGGTCGGGGTTGCCGGCGGTGCTTCCGCCCTCGGGGGCACCCCTTCAGAATCCCCTCAGCCCGGTGGTGGCTGCCCGGTGGCACCCTCCCCCACGGCCATGGTGTCTGGCCGGCCGGGCAGCGGCCCGCCAATGCCCGCCTCCTCGCCGGTGCCCGGCCTTTCGCTGCCGGTCTTCCGGGCCCGGCGGTCGGCCGCCTCCGCTGCTCGCGCGGATCTCTTCCGCGCCGCGGCCCAGGTGCTGGCCGTGCACAACCACCGCCAGTTCTTCTTCTGAGCGTCGCGCGCGCGCATGCACACATGATCGCGCAGAAAGCGCGCCTCCCACACCCCCTGTCCTTGTTCCTGTTTCCACTGCCCTCCCCTTTCCCCAGCCGCCCTCGGCGCGTCCCCCACCATCGGGGTGCGCACATACTGGCGGGGGGGGGGGGGGGGGGCTCCTCCCCGAATTTGGGGGGCGGGGTCTCCCATCGTACATGTGTCTGTGTGCGCCCACGGGGGGCACCAGTGTCGCATTTCCCTCACCTCCCTCTCCCCCCTCTGCAAAGCGAGAAATACACTCCTCCCCTCCCCCCTCACCCCCCTCCGAGGGTCCCCCTCCTCCTCCTCCTCTGGCGAGGGTTTCCAGCCACCTCATGAATGTCACCCGAGACGCATACACTAGGGAGGGCTGGGTCGGTCTAATGGTGAGAAGGGGAGGGGGGCAACGCACGCCAAGCAGCATACGGACCATTGGACTTCAGTAGTCCGGCGATCTGGGAAGGGCTCTTCGCCAACGAATCGCGAAGCAGCTTCGGCATAGCCCGGAAAGGGGGCCAAGCTGCGTGTGGTTCCCCCCCTTCCAAGCTACTCGGGCATAGGCCTCCTGTGTGTGTGTGTGGGGGGGGGGGGGGGGCCTTCACTCGAATGGGTTGATGAAGAGCATTCGATTGCCGGAGCCCCGCGGGTCGGTCACCAGGTCCGGGACAGACCGGTCGAGAAGGGCCTGCTTCATGCGAACCTGGTCCATGGAGGCATCTTGGGCCAGCATGAGGGCCGCCGCACCGCCTGCCGGGCACAAGAGAGAAATCCCGCCAGGGCCCACCGAGCCAGGGCCGAGGGGGGGGGGGGGGAATGTGACGGTCAGCAAGGGGAGCACCGCCTGTCAAGCGGGACCCCCCTCTCGGCGAGACACCGATCGAGGGCCGCCTTCCTGGACGCGGAAACCCCCAGCAAAGGTGCACGGAAGAAAAAAAAAGGGGGCACATACTGACATGCGGACAGGCCATCGACGTGCCGGACAGGGCTCGGGTGTTGGTCCGGGAGTTGCCGATCCAGGCGCTGGTGATGCTGACCCCGGGAGCGAAGATGTCCACGCACTTGCCATGATTGGAGAAGGAGGCCCGGTGGTCGGCACGATCAACGGCGCCGACCGTGATCACCGAGGGAATGCGCGCCGGGGAGACGAAGCACGAGTCGCGGTTCTCATTGCCGGCCGCCGCCACCAGGATGATGCCCTCCTCGATGGCGATCTTCACCGCATTGTCGATGATATTCGACCCCGGGCTCCCGAGGGACAGGGAGATGATCGACCGAGCCCCGGGCACCTTGCGGTGCTCCTTGGTCACCCAGGTGATGCCGGCCGCCACGTTGGACATGGCCCCGGCCCCGGAGGCCCCGAGGACCTTGACGCCCACCACATTGGCGGCCTTGGCAATGCCGAAGGTGATGCCGGCTGCGGGGCCAAAGCGGGTGTCAGATACGGGGGCTTCGGCCGGGGGCACGCTCGGCTCTCGGCTCGCGCATCGTGTTGCCCGGCCCCCTCCCCTCCCCTCTCTTTGCCTTTCTCTCTCTCGCCCCCCCCCTCTCTCTCTCTCTCTCTCGCACGCGCGCGCGTTCAGGTATCGCCCTCGCGCCGAGACGCCCCAGGAGGGCCCGGCTGCCGGGTGGTCCCCGCCTCCCGGGCCCTCTTCCTGGCAATGCTGACCCGTGATACGTACCGATGGTCCCGGCACAGTGTGTGCCATGGCCATTGTCATCATAGGACCCGGGCTTGCCCAGGGATCCGCCGCGGTGGAAATTCCACCCGGCCCGAGCACGGGTCCCAAACTCCCGGTGGTCATGCTGGATCCCGGTGTCCAGCACGTAGACATCCACCCCGCGGCCACCCTCGGCGTCGAAGTAGTACCGCCGGTCGAGAGGCAGCTGGCGCTGATCCACCCGGTCCAAGCCCCAAGTGGGGTTCAGCTGGATGGTGACATCGCGCGTCTTCGCGCCGGGGTCCTCGGCCCGGGGCGGCGGGGGGACGCGCGGCGCGCTGGCCGGCCCATTCGGAGCGTCACCCCCCCCGCCCGGGCGCTTGGGCCCGAGCAGGGGGGGCAAGATGCGCCGGTCGGGGACCGGAGCCTCGATGGACACCACCAAATCGTGCTCGATGTACTCGATGATGTCCGAGCGGTTGCGCACGCGCGCCAGCAGGTGCGGGCTCAAGCGGGCGGCCAACGCCCGAAGCCGCGAGCCAAAGGTGATCATCCGCCCGTCCGGGGCCCAGCGGGCGGAAAACTCCCCAAACAGCCCATCATCCACATCGCTGCGGAAGACGATGATATACTTGTCGGGGATGATGACGGCATTGCGCTCGGCCTGCAGCAGTGGCACCAGCTCGCGCAGGCGACTGACCGTGGCCCGGAGCGGTGTGCGCACCGTGTCCGGGGTCATGGACGCCGGTGGTGGGGGCCAGATCCCCGGGCCGGTGGGCATTTCCGCATGTCGACGGTCGCGGCTCTCGGCCGGTGCGGCCACCTCCAGCGCTCGAAGCACCCCGGCCAGCAGGAGAAGCAGCACAACCACGTGCGGAAGGGTACGTCGAGCCATGGCCTGAAGGGGGGAGGGGGTGGCGGCGGCGGCGGCTGTGCGGGGATGAGGGATGAGGGGCGGGGGAGGAGGGGGGGGGGGGGGGGGGGTAGAGGGGCAGCAACACAGGTAGGGCGTGAGGACACGGCACAGAGCTGGGAGGCGAGCACGCAAGGATGTCGAAGCTAAAAGAAGGACGAAGGACAGGATTGCTGGTGTTGCAAAGACGGCCCAGGCCATCTGGTGGCAGGGGGGGGGGGCCTTTTCTGGCCACTGCTGGTGGCGAACACCCTCGACGCCGCTTTCAAAGTAGCCCAGCAGTGGCAGGCCGCCCGGTCGGCCAGCCACCCGCCCAAAGGACACACCAAGCATAGCGGAGGCTGCCGCGCAAGGTGCCGGGGACACACAAGGCATGCCCCCCCCCCCCCCGCCCGAGCAGCTGGCCTGCAATAGGCCCCGCGCTGATCCCCCTCCGCCCTGCCATGGCAGCCCCCTGCTGACATATGCATTCGCATCGCAGCCCCCCAGACGAGCGGCATGGTAGACGCCCTGCTCGGGAATGCGACGCATTTGCGGGGCACATAAAGGGCAAGACATCGGCAAACAGAACCACGGCATGGAAATGCCCGGGAAAAGAAACAGGGATCTCTCTATTGCTCCCGGGGGGGGGGGACCGCCGGGGAAGAAGCAAACACTGGCGCAGGTGCAATCGAGGGCTAGGTGTCAAATTTGATGGGCACGTGTCTCTACTCATCGTCACTGTCGTCATCCGACAGCATGAGATCACGGTTCTTCAGGGCGTTGCCCATGTGATAGTGCATCTTGCGGTGGTGGGCAAATTCCTGCTTCCGCTGGAGAGCTTTGCGGGATGGGGATTTGGATTTGGGTTAGCACACGCTGCCGGGGGGGGGGGGGGGGGGCCGGGGGCCGGTCGCCGGGGACGACGCTTGGCCGACGCCTGGAAAGGGCCGCCAGGGTCGGGTGCCAAGGTGCGGCCGGGCGCGGGGCCATTTTACGCAGGGTCCCGGCACTGATCCGACGGCAGGTCCGTCCCCGGTTGGGCGCGGCTTGGATGCAGAGCGCGCGCGCGCGCGCGCGTGTGGAGGGGGGCGTGCAGTGAAGAATGGCCCGGCACACACAACACGGGGGAGGGGGGGGGGGGGGGGGGGAGATGCAAAATGGGCGCCGGTGCGTACCCTCAGGGCTGTTGTCCTCGTCCTCCTCGTCGTCGGAGGGCGGGTGGTCGAAGTCCGGGACGAAGTCGACATTCGCACTGAAGGAGGGCGAATGCTGCGGATCGTTGGAAGAGGGGTCCTCCATCTCCGGGGCCGCCTCGAAGATGGACTGCGCCATGATTTCTTCGAGCTTCTCCGGGGCGGCGATATTCCCGTCAACTGGTGGGGCGTGCCAGGCGCATGCGGTGCATCCGGGGGCGGCGCGGCGCGGCGCGGCGCGGTGCGGCGCGAGGTCAGAGGCATGGGTCAAGGCCAGGGGGGAAAAAAAGCCGGCAGGCGATGGACACCCGAAGTGAGGGCCGAAGGGGGAGCGCACTGTCACGGATGCCGATGATCTCATCGCCAGCATCATTGTAATACACAAAGGGGGTCTTTGGCTCGGTGATCTTCATGGTGGCCGTGCGATTGGATTCATTCTCGCGGAGGTTTTCCTCGTTCCAAGTGATTGACCGCTTGGCGGGGCTAGAGGCACCCCGCAGGCGTGGGCCAGGAGCACGGACAGGCCAGGAGGCGACAGCGGAGATGCAAGATGTGAGGGTGAGGCTGGGCTCGTGGGGGGAATGGCATCCGGGAGAGAGAGATGGCGACAGGGACATACTGCTGGTGCTGGTCCAACTGCTGGGAGGCCCGGGCGGCTGAGACGTCCTTCAAGATCCCGTCGGTCATGGCAGCGGGGGTGGAGGGGAAAAGGGCAAAGGAAGGGGACGTGCGGCGGAGAATAGACGCGAAGGCGAGCGGGAGCGATCGAGGCCAGAGGTGATGGCCGGTGCGCGGTGAAGCCGGCCCCGAACGGGGTCTCTTTCAGATCTGGGGGCGCATTATGGGGAAGTGATGCCTGCCCCGCCCCCCCCCCCCATCCAGGTCCCGGGTCAGGCAGGCCGGCGCCGCTGTGTCAATTGTTTCATGACCGAAGGGCGGGCGGTCCCGAGCCAGTGGCAGGAGGGGGGCGGGCGGGGGCTGCCCGCCGGGTCGAATAGTCGACCAAGGGAAGAAGGACAATCATCACGGCCTTGTGTAGAAGTGAGCCGCACACACACACACGCCAACATCCAGTCCAGGGCGCAGCCAATGATCGGGGCGCGAACAAGTTTGAAGGAAGGCGCGCCGCTGGCCACATGCTCCCGGTAACATGTGACCGCCTTTCAGGTGCTCGGCCTACATTTCCCCAAACTTTTTTGAGTGGCGCGCTGACCGGGCCCCCGCCGCCCCGGGGCCTGGGGGGCGAGGCAGACGGGGCGAGGCAGACAGGGCGAGGAGGGCTGGCCGCCCGGAAAGAGTCCTGCCCGGCCGTCGGTCGGGACCGGAGCCGGGGGGGGGGGGGGGAGCCGTTTCATCTGGGTATCCTGGGCG